TGTGGTTAGGTTCTTTAAAAGTGATAATCAAGTTTATGTATGTTCTATGTGTTTATTCTCCCACACTTGTTAATTAATAGGATATCTTAATTATATTAACAACTAATTATAATCAACATGTTATTGGTCTGACATGTCAGGTTGTCTTACATACAGGAATTTCTGATTCACCATGCATACATTTTTATAATACTCTTGTGGTCATTAATGTTCGGTTGTGAAATCACTTTTTGTTTTTTGCCAGTTTCACTGAAAATAAATTATGATAAGAAATGAGCACGCAACAAAAATGTCTAATGTAAGAATTTCATTTCCCTACATGATACTCTATCTGTCGAATCTTTATTTCTAATTAAGTATTCAGAGAATTTGAAATATTGCTCCCTTTGTGCAGAAAAATAGGTGATTTCACTTAACACCTATTGTAACAAATATGATTATATTAAATAATAAAAGCCTTTTCTTTTCAAAGAAACCTGTTCAATTAGTGTTCAGGTTGGCCTGAAATAGAGTATCCCAGCCTCCCATGTAAGTGATGAAAGTTTGACAGGCCCAAAATGTAAAAATAGGACATACACCAAGTACAGGGAAACCCCTCTAAACCAACAGGCTGTCGGACCAGTTTTAAGTGGCAATATAACAGAGTTACATCCCTCTATGACTTAATCCATTATCTGTAGTTATTGCTCTGTATAATGTTAACTGGACATTGCTCTGTAGAATGTTAACTGGACATTGCTCTGTATAATGTTAACTGGACATTGCTCTGTATAATGTTAACTGGACACAGCGCAATGTCATTATAATAACTAACAATTTGTTACTTCAATCTTAATTCCCTTTGCATGACACATTAATGTTTGCTAGGTCGTTTCATGATAATGATTTAAACTTTCGAGAAAACTAATTTAACGCAAATTTCAGCTTGGGAAATGCTGGTTAGTGATTAATCGTTTCCTTTGATAATGAGTCACATTTATTGATATTTATCTTTAAGTTGTCAAAGGATTAACGTCAATTAATATGTGAATTAATTAAGGTGCCAGTTTAGAGAGTCTAATTAACTATAGATTAACTTTTTTGGACACGATTTCGATGCCAGATTGCAGTTTAGAGATGTGCCGGTTTATAGAGGAATTTCACTGTATATGTAAGTTTAACAGTGTAGTCTTTGGCAGAAAGTTTGTTTTGAGAAATTTCAGTTAAGATAGGTTTCTTTTAATATGTAACATACTTATTCACCCCAAAGCCTGATTTCAACAGATATTACATGCAATACCTTTTAAAATCATTTGGTACATTAGCTTTGAAAAATTTCAATCTATAGAAAATTATAGAGAATGCTTATATCATTATATTTTAAATTGATAATACAGAATTGAATGTTGAAAAACAGTCAAATTTCTTAGAAGATTTGGTATGTGTGCATTAAATTGCAGCTATATGTTTCAATTAATGAAGCTTTTATGCATTACATCATAAAGCTCAGGAAGCATACAGAGTTTAAGTTGCCAAGTTTTTTCATGTCAAGTTGTTCTAGAATCTTATTTTATCCGCTACTTGTGAAGTTGTTAAGGCAACACCATGATTTTATCTAACATGTCTACCAGAAATCTGATTATAATACCTAACATACCTCACATTTGGAGATTTTTTAATCGAATTGGTGTTATTAAAACTGACTTAATTTTTATTAAACAGAGGCAAAGATTGTATGTCAACTGGAACCTTATTAATTCTGACTTAATTAGCTCATTAAAATGAAAATCCAAATGAAACTCTTTCTGAAGATTATACGTGAAGTTTTTATGTTGTTGCGTCTTTGTGAAGTATCAGGATATTGTCAGGGTAACTCTCTCTCAGACAGCTCTATAAAAACCTTCAGGATACTAATCCTTAAATGTTATTCAGTAAATAAATATTTGGTTGGAATTTAATTGATATTCAATTAATAATAGTGTCTCCCTATAGACTATTGATATATATTATTTTAACACAGATTACTCCCTGTCTCTACCCCTCATGTTGACATTCTATCAATAACTGATGACTGTCTAATGGAACAGCTAATATTTATTTAATATTAACCAACAACCACCTCATAACATACAGACCGTTGTTCAGAAATCAGTCAGCAAGTAGATTGGATATATATTTTCACATATTCAGGCTTTTATTGTCTGTTTCCCAACAGTGGTTTTTTTTATTGTGTTCAGTAGAAGTGTCTCTTGAATTATTCTAAAACATGCAAGATGCTATTTTTGTTTCATCTTTTTTTTTTCAATAGTCATTGATCAGACATCTGTTACTATATTTTTCATGTGACATTTTTTTACATTAAATACACTACACTGAAGAAACTAATGATTGTGAGCTCTCTTTTGAAACTGATTTGTAAATTATCTTTATTTGAGTCTGGCAGTAACTGAAATTTTCAGGAACTGAAAGTATCCATACTTTAAGATAATACTAACTATAATATTTATTTCCAATAAGAGATAGAAATTAATGTTGCCTTGGTAATGTATCTCCACCTCATATTTACACATTCAATATATTCTACTGGTATTTACAGACAGTAACATGAATTAATTAAGCTCATGATTCATGATCTAATCAAATGTTTGTTATTGAAGAACTCAATCTTTCTTCAGTATGATACATTATTCACTGAAATTCAAAAAACTCCTAGTGTCTAATAATTCAGAAGAGGTTATTCCATTTGTTTTGCTCTTTTCACAAGCTCAATCTACAGACTACTATATATGACAGATTTGTGAGACATTTTGCATCAGGGAAAGGCTGATGAGGTTTTGAGATGAATGCCAATTCATCATCATTATATATTTTGGAACTTGTCCCATGTATAAATTACCTTAGAACTTGCTTACACATTTTAATTTTATCATGTATTTTCTTTTGATATTTTTGGCTTGAAAATGTTAAAAAGCATTGATGCCAAATCATTTCGAAGATGACAAAATTCTTTGTAGCAAGACAAAACATTTATTTGTCATTTCAATTTATTTTATGAAGATGTATGTTAATTTTGCAAAAATTAAATAAATCATTTGGCTTACTTTGCATTTTGCTGTTTAAGTTACTTCTGTTTTCAGAAATCATCCCTGTAAAGTACATATTGACCTCTTTAAATGTGTTACATGCCCACTGAGCAGTGTAATTTAAAATATGTTCTTTTTGGACCAAGACTTCACATTTTGCTGCGAACATATGTTTTATGTAAAGTTAATTTTTTGGACAGCAGGTTTGGAAATTGGAAGAAATATCCTAATATTTTGAATAAGGATATGGGAGCTGAGTACTCATTGAACAGGAATGAGGATTTGATTATTATACGCCCACATGAATATGTGGTCGTATATTGTCGTTGCCCCTGTCCGTCGGTCCATCCGTCAACATTTCTTGTGAGCACTATAGAGACTACAGTTTTTATCTGATTTTGATAAAACTTGGTGTGATGCTTTAGATTGATAAGATCTCGGTCATGTTCGAATTTGACATATTTTCGATGAACGGTTTTTGAGATATTGACCTTGACATAGAACGCCTTGAAATTTGTTAAAAATTGTTCGTGAGCAGGATTGAAGCTACAGTTTTCATCCGATTCTGATGAAACTTGGTGTGATCATTGGAATTGATAAGATCTCGGACAAGTTCTAATTTGACGCATTTTCAATGTATGGTTTTTGAGTTATTGCCCTTGACTTTGTTAAAACGCGTCGAAATATGTTTAAAATAGTTCGTGAGCAGGATTGAAGCTAGTTTTCAACCGATTCTGATGAAACTTGGTGTGATCATTGGAATTGATAAGATCTCGGATAAATTCTAACTTAATGCATTTTCGATGAATGGTTTTTGGGTTATTGCCCTTGACTGTGTTAAAACGCGTCAAAATTTGTTAAAAATAGTTTGTGAGCAGGATTGAAGCTACAGTTTTCAACCGATTCTGATGAAACTTGGTGTGATCATTGGAATTGATAAGATCTCGTACAAGTTCTAACTTGAAGCATTTTCGATGAATGGTTTTTGAGTTATTGCCCTTGAATTTGTTAAACAGTGTCAAAGTTTGTTCTTGAGCACAATAGAAGCTAAGTTTTCAACCGATTCTGATGAAACTTGGTGAGATCATTGAAATTGATAAGATCTCGGACAAGTTTTAACTTGACGCATTTTTGCTGAATGGTTTTTGAGTTACTGCCCTTGACTTTGTAAAAACGTGTCAAAATATGTTTGTGAGCTCTGTAGAAGCTACAGTTTCAACCAAATTTGATCAAGCTTGTTATGATCATTGGAATTGATAAGATCTCGGACAAGTTCTAAATTAAGGCATTTTCAATGAACGTTTTCAGAGTTATTGCCCTTGACTTTGTAAAACGCTTCAAAATTTGTTTGTGAGCACAATAGAAGCTACAGTTTTCAACTGATTTTGATGAAAATTGGTGTGATCAATGGAATTGATAAGATCTCGGACAAGTTCTAACTTGACGCATTTTCGATTAACGGTTTTGAGTTATTGCCCTTGACTTATGAAAAACTTGTCAAAATTTGTTTGTGAGCACAATAGAAGCTACAGTTTTCAACCGATTATGATGAAACTTGGTGTGATCATTTGAATTGATAAGATCTCGGACAAGTTCTAACTTGAGATATTTTTGATGAACTTTTTTTGAGTTATTGCCCTTGACTTTGTAAATACGCGTCAAAAGTTGTTTTTGCCCTTGATTAGAGCTCTGTGATTTAATTATTTGTTGTATTTGGGTTATTCATATTGATTTTAAAAAATTTTGTGGAATTATTCATCATAAATAACTGGCATATATATATGTAATTGAATTCAAACTAATAAATTTTCTTCAATATGAGAAGATTCCTACTTTAGTCACTATAGACTGTTTTATCATTTCTGACAGCTGCCAGTGGGCGTATGTTACCTTGCCTCGCAAGCTATCTTATATATATGTTATGATTATATATTGTAGATGTTAATGAATGTGGTATCAATAATGGAGGCTGTGAACGAGAATGCTGTAATTCTATTGGTTCTTTTAAATGTAAATGCCCACAAGGTTTTGAATTAGCTGCTGATGGTAGAAGATGTACAGGTAAGGCTTAGGGACATAACACCAGGTGTACCAACTAGTGATTTAAAGCTTATTAAAGCACCAAAACTTCCCTGCCATGTCCAAATGATCTATTTTGTTTGAACTGTTTATATCTGAAAATTTTCATAATTTGCAAGAAAATAGACATGAGCAACTCCTGGAAACATCAAGAAAAACCCATGGTTCTGATGTGCTCCCAGAAACCACAAGTTGCATTAGATTCTCACCTATCCTAGAGGTTTTAGATACATTCTAAAGAATTGATTAATCTAAGGAGATTTAAATTAATGCATTACATTAGAATGTTATGCTTTGCCAAGTGATAAATCGCAGGTGTTCCAACTTTAAATTAAGTATGTCTGAATCTAAATGAAGGTGTTTATTTTAAGATGCGTTTTTATACGCCCACATAAATATGTGGTCGTATATTGTCGTCACACCGGTCCGTTGGTCCGTCAGTCAACATTTCTTGTGAGCACTATAGAGACTACAGTTTTCATCTGATTTTGATAAAACTTGGTGTGATGCTTTAGATTGATAAGATCTCGGTCAAGTTCGAATTTGATCTATTTTCGATGAACGGTTTTTGAGATATTGCCCTTGACTTAGAACGCCTTGAAATTTGTTAAAAATTGTTCGTGAGCAGGATTGAAGCTACAGTTTTCATCCGATTCTGATGAAACTTGGTGTGATCATTGGAATTGATAAGATCTCTGACAAGTTCTAACTTGACGGATTTTCGATAAATGGTTTTTGAGTTATTGGCCTTGACTTTATTAAAACGCGTCGAAATTTGTTAAAAATAGTTCGTGAGCAGGATTGAAGCTACAGTTTTCAACCGATTCTGATGAAACTTGGTGTGATCATTGGAATTGATAAGATCTCGGACGAGTTTTAATTTGACGCATTTTCGATGAACAGTTTTTGAGTTATTGCCCTTGACTTTGTTAAAAGGCGTCAAAATTTGTTAAAAATAGTTCGTGAGCAGGATTGAAGCTACAGTTTTCAACAGATTCTGATGAAACATGATGTGATCATTGGAATTGATAAGATCACAGACAAGTTCTAACTTGATGCATTTTTGATGAACGGTTTTTGAGTTATTGCCCTTGACTTTGTAAAAACGCGTCAAAATTTGTTAAAAATAGTTCGTGAGCAGGATTGAAGCTACAGTTTTCAACAGATTCTGATGAAACATGATGTGATCATTGGAATTGATAAGATCTCAGACAAGTTCTAACTTGATGCATTTTTGATGAACGGTTTTTGAGTTATTGCCCTTGACTTTGTAAAAACGCGTCAAAATTTGTTTGTGAGCACAATAGAAGCTACAGTTTTCAACTGATTTTGATGAAACTTGGTGTGATCATTCGAATTGATAAGATCTCGGACAAGTTCTAACAAGGGATATTTTTGATGAACATTTTTTGAGTTATTGCCCTTGACTTTGTAAACATGCGTCAAAAGTTGTTTTTTGCCCTTGATTAGAGCTGTGTGATTTAATTGTTTGTTGTATTTGGGTTATTGATATTGATTTTAAAAAATTTTGTGGAATTATTCAGCATGAATAATTTCTTCAATATGAGAAAATTCGTACTTTAGTCACTAAAGTTTTATCATTTCTGACCGCTGCCAGTGGGCGTATGTTATCTTGCATAGCAAGCTATCTTTTTTTTTTAACAAAGAACCAAAAATGATTATTCAATACAGGACATTAAAATCTGATGTGTTATTTGCAACTAAAAGTAAATGTTTTCCAAGCGTGTCCTAGCTAAGTAGTTAATACCAGTCCATAATGAAACTGGTACCATTTAAACAATCAAGACCAGTCCATTTTGGTTGCAAAAGTATCAAAGCTTAAGCATTCAGTAGGTTTGACTTTATACTTTACTTATTTAATAAAATACACTTTACACAACTAGTATGCAATTTGTTAATAGATATTGATGAATGTAGAGATCATAATGGTGGATGTCAACATAAATGCCTTAATACAGATGGTGGCTTCAGTTGTGAATGCCCAAAAGGTCAAAGGTTACATGCAGATGGTAGGACATGTATAGGTATGTAAAGATTGTGACTAAACTTCAAAGTGGTTAAGCAAGTAGTTATTGTCTGTCTTGGCTTTAGGTCTTCAATTCAATGATCATAAATACTTCATTGCATCTCCTTTAAAGATACAGAACCTTTAAATGGCTACACAAGAGTGAACAGCTCATCATTAGAAGCAGTAGTCAGCTTCAAATGTTTACTAATGACATACTAAAACATTTCACAAAGGTAATGAATGTAAATCTCTTTTGAAATTACTAAGATTTGAATTTTAAAACTGTGAGACTTTGTAAGAAAGAAAATGTGTCAAACTTAACCGGGTTAAAGAAAGAAATATGTAAATCTGCCATATTTCAAGAGATTTCTTGATAATAAAGATTGTATACCTCATATATCATATCACTATACTGCTCAAATTACAATTCTTTCTCTGACAATTTACATATTTTACATTCTCTAGCACTATACTAGCTATTTGAATGTCTGATTGTATTAAATCATAGGAAATAAGAAGGAAATTAAAGTGCTTTATTTTACAGTATTTATTAGTAATTGGTATTATTATACATTGTTGTGTCTACCTTATACAATGATTTTATTCAAGAAAGGTTCAACTTAGAACTCCATTATATCTGATCTCAAATGCCAAGGTGTGCAAATTCTTCTTCCAACTCTTAGAGATTGGTTTGAATATCTAGAAAATAATACTTTATATCAAATTTATATAGTATATTTAAGTATCTTGATATCAAATAATACGAATCATATTTTGAGGATAGGAAAAAATAGATTGCCCTAAATTCAATTCAATTTTATTTTATAAATCTAAAGTAGAATTTCTTCTGTAATATGGTAGTGTTTCATGAGCTGATTGAATAAGTGCCCCTCTTGATTAGAAATTGCACTGCTCGAGGCAACACTTATAGTTGTTGTAGACAAGTTGAACCACAATAAATTTTTTCATTCATAGATTCTAATACAACAGAAAAAGAACCAAAAGATGGTAATATATTAAGGACAATTTTACCCTTTTCATTTTTTCACTATTTTATTATTTAGTAGTTTCACCCTTATTCCACACACATGGAGTCTACACAAGCTTTTTCTTTTTCAGATATTTTTTTAAAGTTTGCTATGTATAGGCTAATATAGTTGCTCTGTAGATAAATATAGTAGAATATTAATATTTAAGTTAGATTTTGTGCCACAAATTACTTTTTTTAATTGTTAATAGTAAATATTAAGTTAATTTCCCAACTTTATGATATGAAAATGCTTATAATATCTTGTTTTGTTCTTGCATTGTTGTGTTAAATGATAAGTAGGCAAAACAGATTATTCATGGATTTTGTTTATGTGAAAATTTCTTTATAGATAAGAGGTGTTTATTTGATCCAACAAAATTTGGATCACCGTTTAATTTTGGGTATTTGAAGCAGGTCCATAGTTTTCCTTTTATTTTTCTCACTTTTGGTACTAATGGTTGTTTAAAAATGGCAATATTTTAAATCTTTGATCTTTAAATAATACAGGATTTGTAACCTTGATATTGATTCTATGGAAATCAAGAGGTATTTAGTAGGGACTGGTGTTTGTGGGAGATTCCATGGGTTATATTTGTGTCTTAAAAGTATAATATGAATATTCATTACTTGATTAGAAATTATAGTTTATTGTTTATAAGTTATGTGCTGAAGGGGAAACTCAGTAAAGGAAATTACCACTACAGGGTTAGAATGTAACTTTGACGTTTAATCGATTATGAAACTTGATGATCGATAATCCAAATTTTCAAATCAAAGTGATAATAGATTATTTTGATTCTTTTACTCAGCCATAAAATTCATGCAGATTGAAATCTGGAAAATCTCTAGCGGAGGAAATAGAAATGTGCTGATACTATTGCCACTATATATGTGATAAAGGTACTGGTATTAGAAGCCCTGATAACATTGTCTACATAGTTCTATTTGTTCCTATTACCATGAATTATGATGTAAAATGGTATATCAAGTAGTATGAGATATATTATAAGAAATCAGGAATGATCAATATGTGTCATTAGATAAAGGTGTTGATATATTGACTCTATCATTAAAACTAAATGAATCACTTTATAATTGTAATAATGATATAATCATACATATTGATTTTCCATATACAATTATTTACATTTGCACATTTTATTGATTCAATTTCTGAGAAATATCTGCTAAATGACATTTTGATTTTAATTGATATGCAGTGTGTATTTCATAAAATCTAAATACATCAAGACAAATGCCTCATGCCGAATTTGACCCCAAAAAAATTTATTTAAGAATTCAAATATAAATGAGAATCAACTATTTGATATTAACAGTGATGGTGGTTTCTAACAAAATCATTGCAATGACAGACATTGCTGACGTTTTTGTCTCAAAGAAAAAGACTCTAATTATGGCACTGGATATACTGGATATGGTTAGATGTGTAGTAACCAGTATTTAAATAAACGAAGGTTTATTGTATAGCTTTTGATTATACTTAATTCAACTTATAATAATAGTTTTTTTTTCTAAATCTATTTATAAAAACTGATATATATCTGGAACAAAGTAAATACTTAGTTAATTTCAGATAAAAGAACTGTATTGAATTATTCCTGGTATTTATTCTCCTGATATGTAAAACACTTTGAGGGAGGGGGATAACTATAGTTTGTAAGCTACATGAATCAATCAAAGACATTGACATTAGTATCAGTTGATCTGTTAAGATATTGTTGAAAATATCACTGTGGCCATTATTTGTAAATAAAAGCAATTTGATCATGTTCTAGAAGAGAAGGTAAAAATAATGCAATAAATAGATTTATTAATGAACAAGGGGTGTATAAAATCAAGTTATAATACTAATCAATATCAACTAATTAAACATCTACAATACTTAGGCTACTTCAACTTTATTTTCTGCTGTAAAGCTGTCATTTGTATCATTTAGAAAGCGATACAATACTTTTTCAGCCAATTAGGAACCTTACAAAGACTATGTCAATGCAATCAAAACAACAAATTATAAGAATGATCTGATCCCCAATAAAATGAGGTTTTGGATTATTAATACTATATATTAAACCTATTTCCTGTTCCAAATATCAAGAACTTTAGTTATAGAATACCTTGTGTTTAGCAGTCAAGACGTTTGAATAGGCTTGTTGTTAGATGACCAGTTAATGTCTGCTAAACACAGTATTACAGACTAATTTTGATAACAAAAAAATATATACCTTCATATTGCATACTGAAAAGGAATTGGTTCTATTGTTGTAAATGCTCTATGAAAATTCATTGATTATTGTTGCAATTCAAATTATGAATCGTATCTATAAAAAGTTGTGATAATTTTTAAGTGCCTGTCTAATTGAAGACTACAAGATAAGTGCTACATATATTTATTAATATAAATCATAAAGTACAACTATCTTTTGAAGCCAAAGTATTCATTGTTTATAACAGGTACTGTGAACAAATTGTGATAATTTCCAAGTACCTGCCTAATGGAAGAATTAAAAAATAAATGGTATTTGTTCAATACTGAAAGTGAACGATAAAGAAAATAGATAGAGTTGATTGATAATTGAAATATCAGAGTGATTAACTGGATTTGGAAATGTTAGAAAGGAAATGAGAAGTTATACATTCTATATAATAGTCTGTTATTGACTTATTCAATTACCATGAAGTGAATTGTATATAAGTTATTATATTACTTATTTTATTTGAGTTGGTTTGCAATTAGGTGTTAGTTATTTATTTGGTTCTTTCTAATTTGTCAGTTTGTTTGCAATCATTTATAACAGATTCAAAAAATTAGCTAGTAGCTTAATGCTTATATTTATTGACCCCATCCTCCTAGTGTATTTAGAATCTTCTTGCAAATGGAAGGGTATCTCATCGTGTCATTGGCATTATAAGAAGTCTTTACGAAGGTACAAGAAGTGTGTTAGTAGGTTATGTCTCATTCATTATCATGTTTTTGTAACAAATAGTTCAATAGCTTACTATTACTTATGGTTCATTTTAGAAATTCAAATATACTTCCTCTCATCCTCAGAGAAAATTTAACATTTCAGGATATGATTAAATGGTGCTCCTTATTCCTAAATCATGGTGATCCCTCACTGATATTTCATTATTATTTCAACTAAATTTTGATAATTCATATCATTTTAATTACTAAATCATATTTAATCTATCATAAACATGTGAATGTTGTACAACTGTTGTATTTGAGATATTTAATACTTCATTCCTATTTGAATTTCAGAAGATCAGAATCCAACGATTAATTTCCAGACAATGCCAACAGTTTTAACCAAAGAGGGTGATCATAATGATCGATATAGCTATAATAGTCAGCCTCTTTCTGGGGGTTACCTTGATCAGTATAAACCAGACCGCTATTATTTTGGTAGACACAGGAACAAGTTATTGACTGCAGGAATAGGATACCATGACAATTATAATCGTATTCCTTTAAATCATCAAAATTCCATCATTGATGCTAATCAACCTAGATATCCATACAATCAACCTAGATATCCATACAATCAACCTAATTATTATAATCAACCTAATTATCAAGTTGATTATGGCATGAAAACACAATATATTCCAACTAACAATCGAGTTCAATATGGAGCATCAAATACCCGATTTGGTACAGATGTTGATTTGACCAGACAAAGAGGTCAAAATCCTACATCAGATAGAAGTAGAATTTTATATGGCAGACATCCAGCTCCAAGACCACTGCAAACTGCAGCACCAACCAGAGCTCCTACACCTCCTACCAGTGCTCCTTATAATAAGGTTCAATCTGTTGATAATGGGCAGTATAAATTTCAAAATGGGGGTTACCCAACTCCTTCCCCCAGGGTTATTACTCCAAAACCTACTCCTGTTTCTGACAATGGAAATCCTTTATATGGTTCTGAACTTGAAGGACCAGAAATCAAAGATGTAGAGAGAACTACTTCAGCACCAACTGGAAATCATCTCAATGGTACAAATTTTACCATCAATCTACCATAAGATCACAGATCTTAATGCATGTCCCTGAATTGTTTGTCCTAATCATCAGATTAAGTTCAAAAATTGAATAAGTTAAATAGATTTAGACTTTTGAAATTTAAATATTTGTAGTACACTGTTCCATCCCCAACCTTGAAGATATAGTTAAATGAAAGAAAATTAGCATCTGCTAGATTTGCATAATACAATTTTTAAATTGTAAATATAAAATAAGTAACAAAATTACCTTCATTTAACCATGATTATTATAGGTAGATTTTTTATCAAATTAATGTTTGGTTATTTCCTTTCCAGTGCTGCGTCCACCATTCCGCATATCAAGTAAACCACGTTTGGCTATCCTTGATATGAAAGTAAAGGGTAAATGGATCTTTCAACAAGATAGCCTTTTGTCCCTGTTCACTATTCACACAGCTCCAGTTTGAAAACCAGTCTCAGTTAATATGTCAAATGCAAAAACTTACTTTATTTACAAAGATATTCATTTATATTAACTGGAAATTAAATTATAAAGATTATATCAAGAAATCAAAATTTAAAAATTCAAGTGTTTTGTATAACTGAAACTGGTTTGAGCAAACATAGAGTAGGCATGACTGTAATTTGATGTTCTTTCTGAATCTAATTCTGGAATAGGGATGGTCTCTTGTCCTTAGAATCCTTCTTAACTCAGATCTGTCAGTAGAAATGAATTTGGTCCTTTTTCTAAATCTCTTTTCTTATGAACTTGTATCTTTCCTAGTAATTTCTGTACTACCAGATTTTGACATGAAATAAATAGAAAAATAAGTCAGATGTAAAAAAAAAAAAGCACTATCATGTATACTAGAAAATGTACTAAACTATATAAAAAAAAAATATGCACCCATTCCAATAGACCAGAGTAATTAAAAAAACCAAGCTAAAGGTAGGATGTTTATTTTTATTTGAAACTGAAAAGAAGTACATCAAAATTATGTTCACGCTTATTTTATGTTTGTTTTGAGTTGCACTACAAAGCTAATCAAGTTGAAATATCTGGCCCCTCCCATTGCATTTCACCATATGTTAATTCTAACATTAAATCACAAGAGCTTGCTATTTATTTGCTTTGAGAAATGTGTTCAATGTTGAGAATCTAAATTTTTGATTGAGTAAAAACAGAATGCAGTAAAAATTTGAAAACAGAGAACTTATGAACCTGTAAAAAAACCCTCATTTTAATCTGCTGTCCACAAGATAAGGACCAATTTTATCTTGGTCAGAGGTGTGTACCAACTGAGCAAATTTAAAGAAATCTCTTGTTATTCTTTGTTTTTGTTTCAGAAGTGCCATATTTTACCCCAAGCACCAATTCATTTTATTCAATTTTAGCATTTGGCATCATGGTTTCGTTTATTTTGGGAAATTTGTCTTATCTTCTTTGTTTTGAAGTTAAAATTTCACATGTTGTTTGAAATTTTAGCTTCCACTGTTCATCATTGATTCTGGGTAAACTTTGGTGAAACTCTATGTCTCATTTGTCTTAGTCTGTTTTGTTCTTCATCTGTGTCTATGTCCTTTTCCAGAGATATCTAAACATTAACTAACTTTTTGATGATTTTCCTGACTCATCCATAGATCAACCAGAAATTTGATCATCTTCATTAGTTGCTAAATTCTGACAATAATCAGAATAATTCTTCCATATTTAATCTGTTTTTCTTGTTAGTGGTACATGTTCCAGAACCTTCCCATCCACAATAACTCTTTTCTTTCATTCAAACATATGAATTGTGCTAATGCCAGCCATGATCAGCAGAAGGAATTCAAAGCAGATTTGTCCAATATCTGCTTCTGAAATTGTCAAAATAAACAGCTTTCTTGAACTCCATGTTTAAATAGTTTGATTACACTTCCTTTCACCATTATGTGTTTGTCACTTTTGTTTCATTTTGCTGTTCATTTAATTGCATAAAAATTGTTTTAATCTGCATGACTCATCTGGAAAATGATTTTTTCTATAAAAGTTTGGCATGTATGGTAAAACTTTTTTCTATATTTTGCAAAAGGTATCTATTTGGTAATATGTTGAATTTTAAGCATTGAATGCATGTACAATTATAATACATGTATGATAAAGATATAAGTTAAAATTTGAAACATGAACACATATATTACATTTGAAGATTACTATATGTATGAAATGTATAAACTTAAATTATCACATATTATGCTATAGCCGTCATGTAAATGTGTGGTGCAAAGCGCTCATTAAACCCATTAATAGTTCTGATTAATATATTATGTTTTATTTTCAGTTTTTTTATACTATGTTTTCAGTTATTTTCAGTTTTATTCTGTTTCTTTTCAGTGTTAATGTACTTAGTTTATATTGTTTTCTTCTAATCTTTTTTTTTTCAATTGAAAAAAAAAATATTCAAAAGTCATTTTTATCAGATTCTTCATCCATAGTTAAATGAAAGTAAAATATGAATTGTAAATACTGATCACTAGTTATAATTTGCTGTGTTTTTTATTTTCTATCACTGTCAGATTTTTGTAGTTTATGTATTGTTTTGTTTCACAATTTCCCAAAAATTTCCCATTGATGTTGAAGTTGAGATAATCGCATGGTTGTTCTTATTTTTAAAAAGTTATAAACCCATTTGTTAAAGTATTTTTTGTTATAATTACAATTTTGGTTCAGAAATAGTTAACCTAATAACTCACATGCTAATATTAGATCATATTATTCACGTAATAGGAATAATGATTCATTATTTAGAAACAATGTTCGTTGGTTATTTTTAATAGTAAAATATCAAAGTTCAGAATGTATTATATCAAAAAAATTTGGTAATTATTCAGTCAAATTTCTCTTAATATTTGTTATCATTATAGTCATCTACATAAGTGTGTCATAAATGTTGAATATTTAGTAGGACAAGGGTCTTTAAGAGAAAGAATCTTTGAAATATGTTTGTATCTAATCAATATTTAGGATACTGAAAGAATTACTCCTAACTTTTTCTTTCAGCTACTGGTGGTTGTAGTGTAAGAAATGGTGGATGTGAGCATGTTTGTGTTGATGGTTATAGTGGAAGATTTCATTGTCGATGTCGGTCTGGCTTTACTTTGGGTCGTGATGGAAAATCATGTGAAAGTAGGTGATATCAGTAATAGATATCAGTCCAAATCATAACATTGTATCACACCAAATCATAACATTGTATCAAACCAAATCATACAATAAGAATCTGTATATCAGAATGAATTGTGCAATAAGAATCTGTTTATATTTCAAGTAAATCTGAAAGCCATCTGAATCTGTGCAAGAGAATGCTTTAAATTGGCCTCTTGCTGTAGGAGGTTGCTTAATGAAAGGCCAGGCTGTGTTATTTTAAGATATACCAGGTAGTCTGATTTCAGACTTGAGTTGCCCATAGATCAGATCACATGATATAAGCACAGCACCAAAATATTAGATTAAGTATAATTGTTTTAGTATATGGTTCATATACTTTATAGCGACTAATCCATGTAATGGTAATATTGGTTGTCAACATAAATGTGTAAATGATAGAGGAAGAGCTATATGTCAATGTTTTAAAGGCTATAGATTATCTCGTGATAGAAGAACTTGTGAAGGTAAGGCACAGTAGACTGGTCACTTCTTGAATTCCTTCTTCTATTTAAAATATATCAATGACAGTGAGTAACTTGGTTTGGACTTTTGGGAGACAAAGGCTATCTGCGGGCACACGAGTGGTCTTGGTCGAAGACTTTTGTTATCAATTTGAATTTCAACGACTGGCACAGGATACAAAAATCTCCAGTAGGTCGTTTTCCACCTTGTCGATAAACACATGCAAAGCATGCAATTGAAAGGAAAATTTGTCTGATTGCTTGATGATGGTCTCTCTTGCAGACGATAAAACTAATGGAGACAATTATCTTGTTTGATATTATAAATCCTGACACAATAATCTTGTCGTGGAAGCCGTGCACATGCAAGATTTTATTCAAGATTCGGGTCGGGGACAAAAATCTCTGAGCAAGATCGTTCATGTTCCCACACCTTTAGGCTGTTGGCACACGAACGGTCTTGGTCAGCAATTATTTTTGACAAGAGGCCGGTCAAGAGTTTCACTGACCGGTCATTTTCGATTATGTTGATATTCACATGCGGATCATGCAATTTAAAGGAAAAAAGAATCTGATTGGATAATGACACTCTGTCTTGCTGAACGATAAATATCAAACCTGTCTGATATTATGAATCCTGTTGGCAACTCAATTAATCATGTGAAATTTAACGCTAAGGTAAATTGTGCAAATGACAGATGTAATTATATTATTATATATTAATATTTTGTATTATATTATTATATATTGTATTATATTATTACATATTGTATTATATTATTATATATTATATTATTATATATTGTATTATATTATTATATATTGTATTATATTATTATATATTATAGATGTAGATGAATGTCAACGTGATAATGGACAATGTAGTCAGGCTTGTGTTAATACTAAAGGTAGTTTTGTTTGTACCTGTACACCTGAATATCAACTTGGTGAAGATGGTAAATCTTGTTACAGTAAGTTGTACTTATTACTATTTCTTTGACTAAAATCAGTGCTTACTTCTTCATGCATTTAACATTTGGAGAATACATGAAAGGGTTTTGTTTTATTAAGGAGTTTTTTAATTGCAGAGATAGGTATTAAAATATATATTGACCCAGGTGTCAGCTGTTCAAGCAAAATAATAGAGCGCTTGTACATAATTTACATTGTCAGTTGGTTGCAAAATATTTGCTTATCTTCATCAAAACATTCAACACAAAATAATTTTTGTACATGGTTTGAGTTGATATGAATATCTTCTATCAAACAAACTGTAAGAGAAGCATGTCATGGTGTTTTAACATAAGTTGAATTATGTAATGTATGCTGACAATGAAATGATTTATTAACACCAACTGATTTTTTTACAAGACATAATTGTACTTGTCATGTTATGAGTGCTATGATGCAGTTTTGGCAACAGTAGCTGTTTAAGCTTTGGTGAGAATAACTCACAAGCTTTAGTGCACTGTTACTGTGGTGTACAATTGGAAGGAAAGCCATGTAAATCTTGATTATTTATACTTTACATGCCTTGTTATAAATTTTACACATTGAAAATCTCATCCAAAAACTAATATCTGGCATATATTTATTAGACAGTTAATTCTTATTTCATATAACTCTTTCATTTTCTTACTTCATATAACATTTTAACAGAAAAAATGTACTGTTTGTCTTTTTGTATTGATATATGACTGTTGAAATTGCTATGATACTAATAAACAAAAACTGTGAATTCTAAACCATTCTTTGTTTTGGTATTGTACTTTCATTTGAGGAAAGTTAGAGAAATTAATGCTGATATAATATTTATGATATATAAGACAAAGCAAAACATGAATCAGTGCATTAATGTTAATAGTTTGTTGGGGACAGATAGATATTTAGTTACCGGTACCCATAATTAGATCTACCATATTGATTCATACTATTCAATTTACTTCTGATTTTACACAATCATTCTGCAAAGTAATTGAAATATTGTTGGCTTGTTTTTGACATAAGTCTCTGAGGACAGTAAATTTGGAGTAATTTCTGCAGAATACCAAATTATTGGAAATTATATTATAAACATTCTTTTTCTGTATAATGTATTGAAACCAACAAACTGTTAGCTTTTAGAAAGGACGCTTGAATATTTATATTTTAATCCATGGCTTATAATAGTTATTGCTTATTATTTGTTAACATTGTATGGATTGTTGCTTTTGTACAGAAGTACCTAAACCTGCCAAGATTAAAAATACAACAACAGGTCCAGGTATAAAACATAGCTAGTAACATCACCCATTAATATTAATCACCTGCTTACCCTTTTACAGATATCTTCATTTAGTGATCGCTTGAAGTTCTAGAATTTGGTCAGCGCGAACTCTGATACCTGTATCAAGAAAATTCATTATATTTTTTCATAATCTTATACAAAATTAACAACAATTATGATTAATGAACAGACTTCTTTGTAACATAATTTGACTTATAATTCAAGGCTTCAAGCATCACAACTTAACGTAATTTATCCCAAACCTCATGTTGCGCAATGTTAATTTACATATCCAACCTTCACAATCACCATTATATTACTGCATGTATATGTACAATATCAGTTATAAACCAGGAACCAAATTTAATCACTCCTTTTGTGTTTAACATCCTTTATATGATTAACAAGATCAGTTCATCCCTCAAATGTTTTAATCTATATCTTTCCTTAGTTTTTGTGTTTTATTATTTTAAACATTATTTTTGCCTCAAATGATCATAAATCATGTATTGATATTGGATGTCCTAGTTAGAATTCTGTATTGAATAGAGTCTGCTGTGGTCGACAAAAAATTCAGGATTGGTAATGGCGAAATATTTTAACATAAGATGAACTATTTTGATGTTTAACATTTATGATAAAGGAATAAAATGACTAAAATGGCAGATTATTAACTAGAAGATTTTTTTTTTTATTTGTATCTGCTGAAAATTGTTAATCATTTCATCAAAGACATGTACTATCATTATAAATAATTTTAGAAATATATCATCACTGTTATAAGATAGAACAGAAAGAAATACTTTTTAATCTTTAATTTTACTTTCAAATTAGATAACATGTTTCAGAAAGATATATCTTTGCCAATTCTCACTTTATGAATACTTGAAGTAAGACTTAAAAATTGTTTGCAATGCGTAATTGATTCTATAACAAACAATTTTTTTGTTCCTCTAGTCAAAATTGAGAAATTCAACACAATTAAAAAGAATGTTCTTTGCTTTCAAAAATATGTTGTTAGATTTGTACTTACTTCTACAGCAAAACCACTTAAACCTGAAAATTCTTTAAGGAAGAAAAAATAATATTGTTTCTGCAGCAATAATGTTGATGCCAATTGCAGAGTTTTCACACCACAAGCAGCGAAAAGATAAAGTGTATGGTTTAATACATAAAAAAAAATGACATTGGTTATCATAAAATAGCAGTATATTTCAGCCTCTTTCCTTTTGAAACATATTTATGTGTGCACCCCTGTTAATTTGTAGTTTTAGAGGAGGAATTTGATTGCTACTTTGTTGGTTATAGAAAATTATATAGGAAAGTAGACAGTAGAGATATGTTATGTGGTTGTGTGAAATAGATTGTTTTCATGATAAAATGTTAAGTAGAAGCTATATATTCATTTGATTGAAACATTTTCACAAATTTTTACATCTTATTGAAATAAGAATAAACTTGAGATGTCTGTTTCTTGTGATAAAATTTGTCTGGTGAAAATGTTGCCATCTGTGGTAAAGGACATAAAGGAATAGTGTCCTCTCATTATTAACTTTTACACTTGATAAAAATATAGTTTACATACATATAGAAATCTATTTTATAAATGATTAAAGAAATGTATTCCATTGAGAGATATATTCAAATATTTATATCAAAGATACCTCATCTGAACTGTCTTTGTCTTTGTTATTGTTTTGTCCTGAAAGTCATTTTCTTACACCTTTTCCATCTTTTCTACTAACTTGATTTACTAATATTGAAAAAAAAATTGTGACTTCAACTTTTGTTTTATTTTGTAATGCAAGCTAAACCTAGGAAAGTGCGAAAACCTAGGAAAGGACGCAAGACACAAAAAGGAAAACAAAAGGAGCGAAATAAAGGTACCTGTGTTTTTGAAGGTATAAACAATGATCTGAATCCATGGTAACTGCTGTTGTGTTTGTGATGTCATGGTATTTGTTTTTCTTGTGATGTGATGTCACTATATATTGTGTATGACATCATTTAGATCATCAAATATATATACTTATCATTCAGTACTTATATAGGTTTGATGTGTTCAGTTGTATAAAATGCATGAATTTAATTTCTAATCATTGTCATCAACTAACATAAGGCAGTGTTTGGCTTGTGACTGGGGCTAGAAGCAATACCATACATAACAGCATTGCTTTTTTAATTCTAGTAATTGAGTGCTTAAATTAATTTATAATGATAATATATTACCTTCTACCTTGGTTCTGAATTTACACTAGAAAATTAACCAATGTTTTGAAAATATTTCAGGAATTGAAATGGAAGTGATTGATAACTGTGCCTTTAATAAAGGTGGTTGTGCTCACAAATGTCGAAATGGAGTCAACGGTCCTGTTTGCTCATGTAGGAAGGGTTATTTATTACAGGCTGATGAAAGATCTTGTGAAGGTATGTTACATCTTCTTCATTTTAACTTTTAATTGGTCGTTTTGGAAAAAGATAAGGGAATATAACATGCACATAGGCTTTCTACTGTGATTAACAAACTGTTGTCCAAGTCAAATGGCTAAAAAGAAATTTTACTGGTAAATAATCAGGATCAATAAAGTTGATAATAGATACGATGAGAAAGTAAATGCTGAACATGATAGGAAAGTTAATGATTTACAGGATGAGAAAGTTAATGACTTACAGAATGAGAAAGTTAATGATTTACAGGATGAGAAAGTTAATGATTTACAGGATGAGAAGTTAATGTAATGATTTACAGAATGAGAAAGTTAATGATTTACAGGATGAGAAAGTTAATGATTTACAGGATAAGAAAGTTAATGATTTACAGGATGAGAAAGTTAATGATTTACAGGATAAGAAAGTTAATGATTTACAGGATGAGAAAGTTAATGATTTACAGAATGAGAAAGTTAATGATTTACAGGATGAGAAAGTTAATGATTTACAGGATGAGAAAGTTAATGTAATGATTTACAGAATGAGAAAGTTAATGATTTACAGGATGAGAAAGTTAATGATTTACAGGATGAGAAAGTTAATGATTTACAGGATGAGAAAGTTAATGATTTACAGAATGAGAAAGTTAATGATTTACAGGATGAGAAAGTTAATGATTTACAGGATAAGAAAGTTAATGATTTACAGGATGAGAAAGTTAATGATTTACAGGATGAAAAAGTTAATGATTTACAGGATGAGAAAGTTAATGATTACAGGATAAGAAAGTTAATGATTTACAGGATGAGAAATTTAATGTAATGATTTACAGGATGAGAAACTTAATGACAAACAGGATGAGAAAATTATGACAAACAGGATTGGAATGATATGAACAAGAACAGAATGAGAAAGTAATTAATGAACAGGATGAGAAAAAATTAATGAACAGGATGAAAAAGTAATTAATGAACAAGTTGAGAAAGTAAATGATTGACAAGGTTGAAAAATTACTAAAAAACACGATGAGAAAGTTATTAATGAACATGATTAGAAAGTTAATGATAAACAAGATTGTAAAGTAAATGATAAGCAAGATGGAAAAGTTAGTAATAAGCAGGATTGCATTGTTAATGGTAAACAGGATCAGAAGGTTCGGTGGTTTATTGATACACAGTTTGTGAAAGTTATTACACGGTGAGAAAGTGATGAATATGATGAGAAAAGTTATTAATGAAGAAATTGTGAAAGTTAATGATAAACAGGACCAGAAGGTTAATGATGTACAGGATTGGAAAGTAAATGACTAGCAGGATGAGAGGTTGATAAACAGCCTGTGAAAGATATTACACAATGGGAATTTGCATGAGCAAGATAAATAGAATTGTTTTTTAGAGACAATGGAAGCTGGTTGGATAGAGTTGATAAAAAGAAAGTACCATTTACAACTTAAGGAAAAAATTAAACAAGAATGTTAACATCTATCAATATTTTGAAAGGAATTTCCATATTGTAATAGTGATGACAAATTCATGCTATCTTAATGATGTAAAGTTTGAAGAAAATTGAAGTTATTTTGTGTGATAAGCAAAATGTTGTGAAGTGAAATGAAGTGTTAAACTTGAAAATGAATAATGTTTTTTTAAACATAACTTTTAGTGTTGATACATTAGGCTACATGCATACTTTAAAGGAGCATCAAGGGTGTAACGAATGATTTTAAAAACAAACAAATTTTCTTGTAACAATCAAACTATTAATAAAATTCATGCTAAATTTATGTTTATTATGGATTATGAATTTAAATGACATTTTAAATAAGATTTGACAATAAGAACTATTGATGGAATCAATGCCCATCTGTTTAGGGATATACCATCTCATCTGTATAGCATATGGTGATAGATTCTTATAATTTTATCTCAGTGTTTTGCCAAGTTATTTTTGATACAAACTTATACCAGACAATTGTGTCAGGATATGTGGGCTGTTATCTTCACAGACTCATTCACTGAAAATTGACAGGCATAGGATCTTTAACATTTTGTTTGTTGAAATATTCAGGTTAAATAAATTGTTGAAAATGTTTATTACAGTTCATTTGCATGCTTCTTGATAATGTCACTGTGACTCTCAGATATTAAAAGATTCTCATGTACCAGTATTTCAAAAATGTCTGTAGTCAATTAGGTGAATATTTGTTGAATAATGTTTTTTGGACTTTACTGTGAAAATTACACCAGAAATTGAAATTATAAATTAAGATAGTTATAAATAAATTGACAGAATTTCTTAATGTGAATCTGAATCATACTAAGGTTGAAGATAGTAAAGATAACCAGTTTGCTAAAAAGTTTTGAAATAATGGATGCATAGTTTTACACATATACATATTGAAAGATTTGATATTAATAAGTTACTTGAGGTTCCTTCATACAACCTGAAAATTTGGCTCCAGAACGTTTCAATAGGGTGCATCAGTAATATGGAATAAATTACCGAAATTCGACAATGTTAATCTGTGTTAATTTAAATGTAAAGTGAAAACTTGGTTGTTTAGTTACTATCATTAACTCACCAATGGAGATCACTGGAATGCGCCTTGAGAAATTCTACGAGGATTTAATTGCTGCGCAATATAAATATCGTCATTATTATTATTATTATATTATATGATTTTGTTATTTATCTTGTCAAGAGATTATATTATATGATTTTGTTATTTATCTTGTCAAGAGAATATATTATATGATTTTGTTATTTATCTTGTCAAGAGATTATATTATATGATTTTGTTATTTATCTTGTCAAGAGAATATATTATATGATTTTGTTATCGTAGATATCGATGAATGTGAAGGAGGAGATCATTGCTGTGATCAGTATTGTAATAACAATCCTGGAGGTTATACCTGTTCATGTAGCCGTGGATTCCTCCTCAATAGAGATGGCTGTGGTTGTGAGGGTATGTCATTTTTACGCCCACATGAAATGGGGGGCGTATATTGTCGTAACCCATGTCTGTCAATCTGTCCGGCCACAATTGCTAGTAAACTCTCTACAAGACACAATTCTTGATTGATTTTGATGAAACTTGGTATAATTGTTTGTAATCCCCAAAGGATGAACCCTATTGAAAATCAGAAAAATCAAAAAATATATAGTATAAATTATTGCCCTTGTTTTTAAAATGCTCATAAACACTCTAGAAGGTGCAACTCTTGACAGATTTTGATGAAACTCGGTGTGAGTGTTTGCTTTCACCCAATAATGAACCCTATTGAAAATTGAAAAATATTAAATGTGAGTTATTGCCCTTGTCCTTGAAAACACGTTCAATTGAACTTATTAACACTCTTTAAGGTTCAATTATTGACTGATTTTGATGAAACGTGGTGTGAATGTTTGTTATCATCCCAAAGGTGAACCCTGTCGAAAATCAGAAAAATCAAAAAATATTAAGTATGAGTTATTGCCCTTGTTCTTTAAATGCATTCAATTTTAGCTTGTAAACACTCTAGGAGGCTCAATTCTTGACAGATATTGATGAAACTTAGTAATATTATTCAGTATCACCCTAAAAATTTCAAAAGAAGTGTATGTCTGAAGGTTGAATATTCCATACTGTTAATGATGACAGTACTGCCAAATATTTTTATTTAAAATCAAAGCTCCCAGTGGTCGTATATTACCTTGCCTGGCAAGCTATCTTATTTGATATAGTGATAAAAGTCCTTTGAAAGTAATCTTCCTCGGAGTAAAACCAACATCGCCATGAGCCAAGAATTAGAATATACTGGAAATCAGGATTATCAAAACTGGTTGAAGATACTCTGTACAGAACAATTCCTGGTTGTTAAACCACCTTTTAGCTCATTGAAAACAAACTTATTTCCATTTTTCATAAATTATGTAGTTTGATTCTAATAGATTTTTCATATGTTAAATGATGATTTTGATGTCTGTAAGATTTATGATGATATGAGATTTTAATATTAAAACATTCTAAAATAACATTATTAAAAGAAAAATTAAAGCAACTTCTGTACATTTAATATCTTATACAGTTGTTGAATCTATTTTTAATCAAATTATTTTTTACAAAAGAAAACACAATATAGGCTGAAATGTATAATATTGCATAAAACATGCACTCAATGAAGTCTAAAATTATATATAGCATCTTGGTTACCAGTAATAAATAAGTTACCTCTCTTTAGATGTATGCACAAAAGTGGGTCACCTTCCATTCACCTGGCATTATGATTGTAGCTGATGAACTGATTGATAAAGATCCTGAATGAGGGTCATCTTCCACTTTTGATACTATTATACCAAGAAATTAGACACTTTTCTTAACCAGTTCAAGCTTTATACTGGTCTATAAAGTACTACCTTCAAAAAGAGGGAATCAGACTATGCCAATGTATCATTGCATATATGTACTGGATGTTTGGGCTTTTATGCCTTAAAATATTCAAAGTGGTCCAACACTCCTTATTCATGGGTTATTTTCACATATTGACCACTTTCAGGAGCAGAAACCATACAATATTTTGATATACAATAATAATCTGGGGATGTTGATATATTGAGATGGTTTAATGAGTCTGAACTATATTTCAAATTTTTGAATAAACAGATTATGGTAATGTTTTGATGTGGAAGCTGTATGTGTTTTGTTTTACTTCAAGTGATGTTAATTATGTTTTGATAATAATTTCTTCTAGATATTGATGAATGCTTAAATGATAATGGTGGTTGTGAACAGATCTGTGTAAACTCTGAAGGTTCCTATAGTTGTGCTTGTACTGCTGGTTATACTGTCTCACCAGATGGTAGAAGGTGTATAGGTCTGTATAAATAGTTCTTTTCAAAATACATTTCGCATGGTCAAATCCTAATTTTCAATGAGTAAGGATATTGCCTATACAGAAATGGTTGACCAATATATATTTCTAATTACTTTATTTAGGAAAGCTATAAGAAAATCCTATTTACTAAAGACAGTACACTTTAAACTTTTTTCAATATGTCTCGGACATTTAAAAAAGATACATTCCAGAACAGGTTTGTTGTCAACATAGTTGTTAAGAAATATGATAAAAATATTTATTCCATTTAATAGAAAAACAAACATGATTGGGATAGGACATAGTTACATTGATGATGTGACATTTTGATTGTAGCTGATGAACCAATTGATAAAGGTCCTGAGAGAGGTGATTTACCACGAATACGATATGAAACAACACCATTACCTATATTATCAATAACAGAAGATCCCTATGATAGTCTCTTGTCTCAAGAATTGCAGGAACAAGCTGCTAAATTTAGTGAGTAGAAATATTTTGATATTCTCAACAAAGTCTTTGAACGGTTCCTGCTATGATCATGTACAGCATCTCCAGAATTGATCAAATAAGTATTTAAGTTGAGGAATTCTGAGCGGTAATCAAGTTGGACTTGATTAACTTGAGACCTAACCACCTGTTGATTGCTCAGATAGGTTTGCTGAAGCCTCAACTGAAGATTACTTTGTGGTAAATTAAGGGCCCTTATCTAGACTCTCTGCTGCTTAACGATTAGAGTTTGAAAATTATAATTAAATTCCACTAAGATAGAACCTAAGATAAATTATAAATTTTGTTTATGTTTATCATGCTTAGAAGTGAAAAATATTACAAGTGAGTAATGATGGATGAAAATTTTGATTTCCAATTTTTTAATCATTTTTTCATGTTTAATTAACTGATTATTTTTAATGCTATTTTTACTATTTCAAATGTTATATTTATGTTCCCTCAGTATTATGTGTATAGCATGAACTGGAAAGATGTTTTATGGAATCAAAGAATAGTTTTCAAAATTATTATTTGACAAGTTTGAGATGAATTTTATATTGTAATTGCTTTCTTTATACAGCAAAACTTGAATTCTCTTCTCACTTTGTAAATTGTAACTGACAGGTTTATTTAAAAAAAAAAACAGAATTTTAAAGTTTTTTATATTTCTTTCTGTCAATTTGTTGTATTTGAAACCTGGAATGGGCCTCACATTGTCTTAATATGGTGGTATTAATTATAGCATGGGATCTCAAATTATTGTCCTAAATTGTCTGTCTCTTTTCTTTTTTCTATTCTATATTCAATTTTATATCTTTTTTTCTATATAGGCTAAACCAGATCAGATATTTTTTCTTTTTATCTGATCTTACAGAGTAACAGACCAGATTGTGACAAATATTATTACCCATTCAGGACAACTTGTACCAGTTTTTAGAATTTTACTTCAATGTCAACTTTGTCACAATAAGGAGATTTCTTTTTAGAATTTATATAGTTTGTAGCCTACTTTTGGGAGTTATCTGTATCTGAAGGAAATTCTATCAATCCTGTGAATACTGAGTGTAAAATGAATTAAAGCTTCATATACCCCGAACTCAAAGTATTATAATTTAAAGCCTAGGATGTTAATGTTATATAATTCTTTATATTGTATAATTATGTGGTTTAATTATGTGGTCGCTAGGTTTGAAAGGGTTAAAATGTTAAGAGGACATGTTTTAAAGATCTTTCTCCTCTCTAAATCTTTAATCAAATGTTTTTTTGAAAAGATTTTCCATGGTGTTTAATATACTAAGATAGTAAATAATCTTATGAATGTATTTTACAGATTGTCAACCTGGTACATTTGGTGTGAACTGTTTGTTAAATTGTAACAACTGTTTAAATGGTGCTATTTGTAATGAAGAACAGACAGGCTGTGAATGTACTGCTGGTTGGCAGGGTATTATTTGTAATGAAACTTGCTCACAGGTATGATATTTTCTCTGCTGCAAATGACTCTTAAAGGAAGATTACTACTACTACTTCTATGCTACAAATAAGAAAAATGTTTTAAAGAATATAAGAAGCCTGTTCTTAAATATTACAAACGGAAAATTCATTGATAGTTGTTCAATTAAATATATGCCCACACGAAGTCACACTGTCCATCTGTCAGATCACCCGGTTCATTTATCTCATGCTTACGCTACACTTTACAATTTTTGACATGTGTTTTTAAATGGTAATAGATTTACCAAATATTTAAACTGAAAATGTTGTTGATCATATCTATTACTGTATACTATTTTTAACTTTCAATGGCAATTTGATGTCTTTCAGAATTTCTATGGTAAAGATTGTAATAGTATATGTAATTGTCCCAATGGAAATGTGTGTGATTCTGTAACTGGTGAATGTAAAGATGAATGTCCACAAGGTTACTATGGTGCTCAATGTAATAGAAGATGTCCACATCATTGTGCCAGTGGACATTGCCATAAAGTATTTGGTTATTGTAAATGCCGACCTGGAAGGTTTGGACCATCTTGTAACCAACCATGTCCATCTTTTACATGGGGATCAAATTGTGCTACACAATGTGACTGTAATGTTGATAATTCTAATGGTTGTCAACCAGAGGTAGGTTTTCTATTCAATGATCTTATCTTACATATTAATAGTTTATAATAAATTCTTACAAAAAACAGACATAATAAATACTTACAAGTAACAATCATTAGAAATATTTATTGTTAGAACTGGCTAAACAATTACTTATGATAGACAAGTAACTGGTGGATTTGAATGACAATTACTTATGATAAATAATAGATATCATTTTTCACAGAAAAAATATTTTCTTTTTTGATTTACGAAGAAAATAGCTTCACAGTTAGTAATGAAAGTAGTTGTTATCAGTAAAAATAGTCTTGCTAGATGACACCTTTTAGGCACAAAGCAACAATTTAAAACAACGCAGATCCACTTATAATAAACTAATAGTACCATAGGATAGTCTATCCTGGATAGAGCCAAAAATACCGGTGCTGTGATTGATTCTAACTTTTCTAAACATCATATCAACTCCACCTGATACTGCTTTCTTGACTTTTAACTAACACCGGGAAATATGAGCACATCTCTCCAATCTTTAATTCTCTCCATTGGTTACCAGTCAAAAAGCAAATTGAATTCAAAATATTGTTAGAAACTTATAAAGGCCTAAACAACAAATCTTCAACATAATTTCAAAATCTGATTGATTTCTCAAACCCAACTTCAAGAACTTTAAGATCTTCAAGTCAGTGTGTATGAAGCATACCATCTGTTAACCTGGACATCACCAATAAAACTTTTTCTTACACTGTACCTGTCTAATCCATCTGAACTGTGATTTTCAAAATCAACAATTTTAAGAAAAACATAAAAATACTATTAGTATTACTATTTCCTCCATTCACAGAAATATATTGATCAAGGGCGAAACTGAAGAGTAATACGCACCATATATGTGAACTATTATTATTATTATTATTATTGTTATGTTACAGACAGGAGAATGTGTATGTAAACCAGGTTATTTTGGAGAAAAATGTTTAGATAGATGTCCGGCTGATAGATTTGGTGAAATGTGTACCCGAATTTGTGACTGTCCAGCCGATAGTAAATGTAACCATATTACGGGTTATTGTTTAAAAGAATGTCCTGCTGGTAAAACAGGACAGAGATGTGAAGAATGTAAGTTTGAATTTTCTCATTTCACTCTTAGCTTACTAATTAATAATGAAAGTTGCTGCCAATTTTATCAAATGTATATTGTCAAAATTGATTCTGAAGCACCAGCTTAGATTTTGAAAAATCATGAATTTATGAATTGTGCATGGATGTAATATGTATTATTAATTTTAACTTAATTATTACTAATCTTTAGCTCCCATGAATCATCAGAAAACAAAGTTACTAAGAAAAGTTAGGCTTCTTATAGATGAGATGATTTATTCTGTTTAAAATATTACTCTTAAGATACTCTTAAAATTGGCAGTATATTTTCATCACTTTACTAATTAATTACTAAAATGGGTTTTTTTTCTCAAGGTTCTACCAGTTATATGTAATTAGAAACTTGATAACCAATGAACTTAAAGCATGCAATCATTTTAACATGCATCATGATATTCTACAGACTAGGGTGATAGGAAATGTTTTGAAGTTTGTTATGTTTCATATGACATGTTTAGATTATGAAAAAAAAATACCGATACCTTCAAGATAAATGCTTTGAAATAGAGATGCGTGATCTTTATTATGGTTTTGATGTTCTTTTATGTTGGAAACCACTCTGTCTTGAACTTTTTGAAGAGTAACTATCGAATTTGAAAGATATTGATGTCCTAGTGATGTGTCCAGCTTAAAAGTACTCCATAAGATATTTTCTTTGCTCATCTCCCCAATTATTATTTATTTATGTACTTCCATTTCCTAATCATAATTGATTTCTTTTATTTTCTTTGATGTGTTATTTTGTGCATAGTTTAGACAGCCTATAATACACAAGTCATTTGATTACTTTTATGTTTATTTTTGTTTGTTGTTTTGTTTATAACTCAATCCTTACAGCATGTCCAAATGGAAAATATGGTCCTAATTGTCTTAAGAAATGTCATTGCTCTGGCAGCTCATGCCACCCAGAAAGTGGAAAATGTGTTTGTAAGGCAGGAAAAACTGGCAGACGGTGTCGAAAATGTGAGTTGAACAACCAAACAAGCCTTACTATTTAATATCTTCAATATTTAGCATTTTGATAATAAAATATAATTTACGCCATCATGTAGCCTACGCTGTCAACAATGTAAGATTCTTATTTATTCAAAGTGCTTCATAGATGCTTTATTTTTGATTGTACATGTATGTATCTGAATATTTTTTTCGGAACTCTCCAGTCTTGCACTTCTCTTAGTCCCTTCTGTTTTCTAAACTGCTTAAGTCTGAACTTTTCTTCCACAATTTTAACGATATTTTTAAACCTCTGCACCATACCATGAATCTGACCTTTCTTCTATATTTAGTATTGACATTTAATATTCAATTTTCAGCTTGTCCACTGGGAAGTTGGGGAATGGATTGTGCTAATAAGTGTACCTGTAAGAATGGAGCTAAATGTGACTCTATTACTGGAGAGTGTGTTTGTAAAGATGGCTGGTATGGACCTTACTGTGGTGAAGGTGAGAAAATTATATGTTGGATTATATTCAATTTTACATCTAATTATTTATCAATTTGGCTATGTATTTATTCCTCACAAGGCAAAAATTAGTAAATATTCCTGCTATTTATTTTTAGCCTGTCCAAGTGGAAGATTTGGTCCTCAATGTATGGAAGTATGCATGTGTGAAAACAATGCTACTTGTGACCAAATTACTGGAGATTGTACATGTTCTCCTGGATGGACTGGTCAACTGTGTGACCGAGGTAAGAAATCATTTTTATATAATGCACAAGATGAGATAGTAATATATATTGAAGGATGTCATAGTATTTGTCCATTGTTTGTTTATATTTTAGGATGTCCACTATGAAGATGGGGTAATAATTGTCTGTTTATATTTTAGGATGTCCACCAGGAAGATGGGGTAATAATTGTCTGTTCATATTTTAGGATGTCCACTATGAAGATGGGGTAATAATTGTCGGTTTATATTTTAGGATGTCCACTATGAAGATGGGATAATAATTGTCTGTTTATATTTTAGGATGTCCACTATGAAGATGGGGTAATAATTGTCTGTTTATATTTTAGGATGTCCACTATGAAGATGGGGTAATAATTGTCTGTTTATATTTTAGGATGTCCACTATGAAGATGGGATGATAATTGTTTGTTTATATCTTAGGATGTCCACTATGAAGATGGGATAATAATTGTCTGTTTATATTTTAGGATGTCCACTATGAAGATGGGGTAATAATTGTCTGTTTATATTTTAGGATGTCCACTATGAAGATGGGGTAATAAGTGTCTGTTTATATTTTAGGATTTCCAATATGAAGATGGGGTAATAAGTGTCTGTTTATATTTTAGGATGTCCACTATGAAGATGGGATGATAATTGTTTGTTTATATTTTAGGATGTCCACTATGAAGATGGGGTAATAATTGTCTGTTTATATTTTAGGATGTCCACTATGAAGATGGGATAATAATTGTCTGTTTATATTTTAGGATGTTCGCTATGAAGATGGGATGATAATTGTCTGTTTATATTTTAGGATGTCCACTATGAAGATGGGATAATAATTGTCTGTTTATATTTTAGGATGTCCACTATGAAGATGGGGTAATAATTGTCTGTTTATATTTTAGGATGTTCACTATGAAGATGGGGTAATAATTGTCTGTTTATATTTTAGGATGTTCGCTATGAAGATGGGGTAATAATTGTCTGCTTATATTTTAGGATGTTTGCTATGAAGATGGGGTAATAATTGTCTGTTTATATTTTAGGATGTTCGCTATGAAGATGGGGTAATAATTGTCTGTTTATATTTTAGGATGTCCACTATGAAGATGGGGTAGTAATTGTCTGTTTATATTTTAGGATGTTCGCTATGAAGATGGGATAATAATTGTCTGTTTATATTTTAGGATGTTCGCTATGAAGATGGGGTAATAATTATCTGTTTATATTTTAGGATGTCCACTATGAAGATGGGGTAATAATTGTCTGTTTATATTTTAGGATGTTCTCTATGAAGATGGGATGATAATTGTTTGTTTATATTTTAGAATGTCCACTATGAAGATGGGGTAATAATTATCTGTTTATATTTTAGGATTTCCACCAGGAAGATGGGGTAATAATTGTCTGTTTATATTTTAGGATGTCCACCAGGAAGATGGGGTAGTGATTGTCAATCTAAGTGTCAATGTTTGAACAGTGCTGATTGTGACTCTATAACAGGAGAGTGTATATGTGTACCAGGATGGAGAGGTGCAGGTTGTGATAAAAGTAAGTTCCTAGTTGCAGAACAGAATATTTTGAAAGCAAAGTATCTCATGCAGAAATTGACGGTGTAAAAATTCTATGTACATAATGTTTTTATATAAAATACTTCGCACAGTTGTGTTGTTTAGAATTGAACACCTCAAGAGTTGATTCTTGAAAAATACTCTAATCTTGATTATGAAATTAATTTCAGAATGTCTGAATGGGACTTATGGAGCTGGTTGTTTGAAGAAATGTAAATGTCAGAATGGTGCTACTTGTGATCATGTTGGTGGAGCCTGTACATGTTCTGATGGATGGAGAGGAAGATTCTGTGAGAAGGCCTGTCCACAAGGTTTCTATGGATTAGACTGTCAGAATATTTGTAATTGTGGTAATGGAGCTACATGTGATCATGTAACTGGTGATTGTCATTGTGAATCAGGATGGTATGGTGATTCATGTGAACAGAGATGTCCTGCTGGAAAGTTTGGTGATGATTGTGGAGAGAGATGTCAGTGTGTTAATGGTGACTGTGATACAGTTAGTGGCAACTGTATTTGTTCTGCAGGTTGGAGAGGAGCTAAATGTGATGAAGGTAAATATATATTATTCTGGATTCATAAATGGTGATTCAGCATGTCTGTCTTTATTTCATGAAATTTTGATGCAAGAAAATGTCAGTTCCTTGGCAAGAGCAAAAAATATTTTGAAAATGCTATGTTTAATTTTTTTCTTGAAAAAAAGTGTTCTTTTGGTTCTATTTCAGTCTGTCCACCTGGTTTCTATGGAAACAGCTGTTTATATAGGTGTTTCTGTCTAAATCAAGGGAAATGTAATCATATAGATGGATCTTGCAATTGTACAGCAGGATGGGAAGGAACAGCTTGTGAAAGTGGTAAGATATTTTGTCAATAGGTGTTTTAAAGATCTAGCTCTATTTGTTTCTGATTAAAAACTTCTCTCTACATTTGAATGGTGTTTGCTTTTCTCCCAAAGCCTCCTGAAATAGGTAGTTTCCCACCATTTCATGCATTTGCTTACACTCTAGACAGCACAATTCTGGATGGATTTTGATGAAACTTTGTGGGTGTGTTTGTTATTACCCAAGGATAAGCACTATCGAAAACCAGAAGTAATTGAAAAAATATTTAGTATGAATTATTGCCCTCGTTCCTGAAAATAAGTTCAATTTTTAGCACGTACACACAAAGTCACAATTCTGGACAGATTTTGACGAAACTTGGTGTTAGTGTTTGTTATCACCCAAGGATGAATATCAGCAGAATCGAAAAATATTTAGTAAGAGTTATTGCCCTTGTTCTTGAAAGCAGGTTCAATTTATAACTTGTAAACACTCTAGAAGGAACAAATTGACATATTATGACAAAGCTTTGTAATATTATTCAGTATTGCCCCAAAAGAAGTGTATGACTGAAGGTTGAATATTTCATACTGGTAATTGTTACTGTACTACAAAAAATATTTTCATTCAAAATCAAAGCTGCCAGTGGGCGTATATTACCTAATTGTCTTACCTTACCAAGCTATCTTAAATATGTATCAGGCTAATATGCAAACTATAGGCTATTATGTATTGTAGTGATGAATGAATCTTGTTATAGTGAATGAATCTTGAGATTACTCATTGTCTATTTTCAGCCTGTCCTAGTGGTAAACATGGTAAGAATTGTGATTTAGATTGTGATTGTGTTAATGGTAAAACCTGTGATCGGGTTACAGGAGCTTGTGTTTGTAATCCTGGTTTTATCGGTCCTAGATGTAATAAAAGTAAGTACAATAATAATTTGTTATTTATTTGACTTACATTTGAACATGAGTTGAGTGACGAGTAACTTGTATGTGATATACATTTCAAAGTGAGGCATTCTGAAGTTCTCTTTTTCATTCTCACTAGCTAGCTGCTTCTTTTAAATTAGTTTGATTCCTGAATATTGCAGCATGTCCAAGAGGATTCTATGGTGCAGAATGTAATTCTATGTGTCCATGTAAAAATGGTGCCAAATGTAACAGTGAAAGTGGTGAATGTACTTGTACAACTGGCTGGAGAGGCAAAAATTGTGATAAACGTAAGTACAGATATCTAAAGTCCTTATATGTACCATGACTCCCAAGCAGAGACACTTTTGCATCAAGTGTTGAGCAGCATAAATTAGTAAGACCTGACAATCTTAAACAAATAATATTTCTGACAACTACAAGATTGAGCACACAAATATTTTTCATAGCCTTTTCCCCAATGCTGGATGAAGTATTAGATTCCAAATATCACAATGATGTCATTTATATTCTAGCCTGTTTACCTGGATTGTATGGTGATGATTGTAACCAGAAATGTTCTTGTGATAAAGATGAACCATGCAATCATTTAAATGGTGAATGTAGATGTCCACCAGGTTTCAGTGGTCCTTCATGTGGCCAACGTAAGTAATTTTCTTCATTTTTGTGGATTCTATCAATTGACGCAACTTAAGTCCAAAGATAACTGTAACATTTTCTATAAAAGACAATTCAGTGGTAGAGCATCATCTAACACATGTTTATAATAATCAGTAACATTTGATTATCATTCATTGATATTCCATGCACCTTTTCCGGCCAAAATCTCCTGAAATTATTTTGTTTTTTTTTTAACTCTGCAGATTGTCCTCATGGTACATTTGGACCAGAATGTCGTGGTCAATGTTCGTGTAATGAAAATTATGATTGTCATCATGTGACAGGAGAATGTGTATGTAAACCAGGACAGAGAGGTCGAATGTGTACTCAAGGTATGTCTTGGGGTTTTTGATTAACAGTAGAGTGAATAATGAATAAACTCAACACTTGTCTTATTTCTAACAATTGTTGTAATTTCAGCTTTTATTGCTTTTAAAATTTTAATAAGCTTTTAACTTAGAAGTAATAGCAAAAGTAGGTTAGCTCGATTATTTGTCAAAAGAATACTTATTCAGATATCTTCTTTCATTTATATCAAATTTGTGAATTGATTTAGATTTTTTTTATGGTGGTGGTGTATTCCCTCTTTTGTAGAAATAGATCCAAATTTAACCAGTAAGCTTTTACTGAATTCTTACAATATAAGATATAAACTTCTTGAGTGATCTTTCTACTGGTTATATTAAACTTTGTATGATATACTTCCATTCAATGGTCATTCCAACAAAATTTTTAATAACTGGTGGCATAGATCGGAAAAATTTATGTTTTGCCTCATTATCAAAATTTATGTATGAAACACCTTACATACTTTTGGTTCCAATGTTTCTGACAACAAACTCTTTTCACCAAGATATGATAACGAAGTATTTTTGGCAATAAATCAGTGCATTTTAATGTCATAATTGTATGCAAGTTTTTTTTAACTACTAATTGGTGATCATTGGATGAGAACAGAAATAAACTAGACTGTTTCTTGCTTCCAAGTCTTCACTTTTGTTTATCAACGTCATCAATAATCTCTTAGCTTGAATTCATTTTAATTTGAACAAAGTCAGTCTGAAAATCATATATTGGACACATTTCTAACATCATAATTGATAAAAATTACTAAATGACCACTCACTGAAATTGCGTTAAGATATTTTGCCTGGTGTCAAACCACCCAAAACAAAGTGAGTTCTGAAACAATTTCATTGTTTTGTGGCTATCTATCTTCAAATTATTTTCTAACTGACTTTGCTCAATGCCTAACTTCATTAATAATGCTTTAATCTGTGACTCTGTTGCATGCAGCCAGGAAAGGCGGTAAGCTAAGAAAGGGTCGTAAAGGTAGAAAAGGAAAAGGAAAATGGAGAAAGAAACCTAAAGATAAAAATGGCTTCAAAAAACTTCAAGCAGGTAAAATCATACTTCAACCATCTCTCTCTTTGTTCTTCAACTTTTTAGTGTTGTATGTTAACTATCTGGCTAAAATTTAATTTGAATCTTGTAATGGTGTTAATCTTCTAATTTGCCTCGGCAAACTTTTACAAGATTTTGAAGGACTAAACAATGTATAATAGTAAATAATTATTTCTATATCACTTTCTTTCATATTGCCCAGTCAGTATTGGTCAGGTAGTTTCAGCTTATAATATAAAAATGACTAATATACCACTTCAATTTCAAGTTGATTAATTTTGAATGATCTATTAATTGAAATAATGATTGTATTATTTGTTTAGCTAACTGGGTTTTGGGTAGGTATTGAATGTTACTGTGTAAATGTACTGCACAAAACAAAACTTGTTATATGTTTGTACTGAGCACTTGTTTATATAAAGTTTGTATATTTTGGGAATGGATAAATGTTTTGAAAAGTTCTAGAATAGAAGGGTCCAAATCATGAATTATGATCAATTGATATTTATATTTATTTTTTCCTTTTTTTAGTAAGAAATAAGAAATATTATTCAACAAAGAGTGTCAATTATGTTTTGAATGTATCATGTCATATATATCATCATCCTTGAAAAAGATAACTTTTTATAGGGATATTTGTTTTTTAGTTTGTAATATATCAGGACAGGAAATGGATATACTTATTCAGATATTTTAATGATTAGCTTTTTAAATACTCATTTAATTGACTAGTTCATACCATAGTATTACTATGATAACAGTAATCTGGTATTTAATGACATTCAATGCCTCAACATTTAACGATCGAAAATATTAACAACTTATAAATATCCATTGTCGTAGGAAATACGGCAACTCCGAGATTAAAGTATTATCGGTTAGTTTGGACTTTCCTCCTCATACCCATGCGACCTTGAAAATGAATCGTATTTTACGGGTTGTAATTAATTTATTTACTTTCATGATATTTGACAATTGTCAAATATTTCAATCAAATGTCATTGTGTTTAAGTAATGACAAATCCTTGAAAATACTTGAAATATCTCCGAAATCATTCTTCAATGTCCTTGAAAATGAAAATGAAATGTCCGCAGGAACCATACATTGTAAAGACAGGCAACGTGATGCAGTGTGCAATGAGGTAATTTTTTGCCAGTAAAGCTACATTAGCCTATTTTTTTTATAAATAGAATACAGAAGATTGGTAATGACATAATATTTTACTTGACAGGATGCAAGGAAGGTGAATTCGGACCTAATTGTGATCAATTATGTAAATGTGAAAATGGAGGAGAATGTGATATGATGACAGGATCTTGTATGTGTCCACCAGGTTTTATTGGACCTACTTGTAGTGAAAGATGTCCTGGTAATACATATGGTGAAGATTGTACTGGTGTCTGCAAGTGTAGAAATGGTGGGAAATGTAGCAGAAGATCTGGCAGATGTAAATGTTTACCAGGATTTAAGGGAAAGCATTGTGATGAAGGTATGTATTGTAAATCATATTTTTGAGACGTGGTTGGGTCCTTTTTGCCAAATCATTCCCTTAGAGTTAAGATTCAGCAATAAGTCCTATTTTTCAGTTGTAAATATCCAATATAAGTAGCCTTGAGTTAATTGCAGTTTATAATTATCCACAAGAAAGAAACTGCACTAATTGAAATTAAATTGTTTCAGTATGTGAAGAAGGAAAATTTGGTATGGAATGTAAAGAGAATTGTAATTGTAAAAATGGTCGATGTGATCCTGTATCTGGGTTATGTGATTGTAATCTAGGATGGATGGGGGGAGCATGTGATTTACCATGTCCACCCAATAGATATGGTCCTGGTTGTAATCATACTTGTATGTGTCAGAATGGTGGAGAATGCGAATCTGTTACTGGTTGTTGTACTTGTCCTGATGGGTATTATGGACATGTTTGTGAAATGGGTAGGGAGCCTTTTCAATTCATTGTTTCAAATACAAGAGTATAAGTATTTATTGCAAACTTTAATCAAGCAAGAAGTCTGTTGAACATGATTTAAAACTAAGAACAGAGATTGTGTTGTTGATGGATGAATGTTTTTATAATTTATAGTTTGTCCACAAGGAACACATGGTCCATACTGTCAGGAAACCTGTGATTGTGTTAATGGAGCTACATGTGATGCTAGAATGGGACAATGTCGCTGTCCTCCTGGCTATAAAGGAGATACTTGTCAAAAACGTAAGTTTCTTCTAACAACAAATATCACATCCTAGTCTAAAAAGGGTTAAATTCCAGTTTTTGGAATTTCTGGTTTCTATTGCTAGCCAGGTGTAGAGATCAGGGTGGCCAAAATAATGGTAGCGATCCCCATATATATCAAATTCTGTGAGTTTTGAAATGTTGATGGTACAGATTTAAAAAAAAGAGATCAATTAAGAAAGACAGAAAGTGGTTGTTCACAAACATCTTGTGTTATACAACTCTACATAGAAATAAAATGACTGTTGAGATGTAAAACATTGTGCTAAAGATAATTTTGGTTAGGTCTTTATCCCCTGTAAAAAAATGTTTTTTGTTACTGTTACAGGTTGTCCTAGTGGTTATTTCGGAGTAAATTGTTTACAGCGCTGTGATTGTGAGAACTCAGATTGCCATCATGTTACAGGAAAATGTATTTGTCCCCCAGGATATTCAGGGAGACGGTGTGATCAAAGTTAGTACATTTATATACATCATATCTTTAGAGATTAGAAATTTTGTTAAGATGTTCTTGAAAATCTTCCTGTTCCATGATAGAGGTAGCTGGAGAATGCAGTCCACAGGAACTGATTCAGGTTTTAAGTCGTATGTACTCAAAACAATTGTTGTATATTCCAGAATGTTCTGAAGGAAGATATGGTCCGAGCTGTGCATTTTTCTGTGATTGTGATAATAGTGGTATTTGTGATCCAGTATCGGGATCATGTAGTTGTGAGAAGGGATGGATTGGAGCTACATGCCAAGTGGTACAAAGTATGTATTTATAATACAATTTATATGTACTAATGTTTCATTTATACTACTAGAATTTCCAGTGCATGAAAGGAGCATTCACTCTCTATATCTTTACCTTTGATTGTTTACTTATCACAACTGATCACAACAAACTGCAAGAAATATAATTAAAACTAATGAAAACATAATGTCAAGTATCATCTGTCATGATTGGTGTTGCATGAACTAAGAAGCACTGGAATTGGAAATTTATCTCACCACTAAAACACTGGTATAGTCGAGACAAAGGTATTTGTGCACATTCATGTGTATCACTTATTTTTTACATACATAGCAGTTAACACAACATGAGCCTTTATGGCCTGTATAGTTTTTATAACCATTCCTGAGATAATCTCACAAATTGGCTTGAGTCTCCCTATTCCTGAAAATATATGGTAAATTTCGAGGAACAATAACAAGATATGGACAATGGAAATGACCTGCATTGTCAGATATATTATCAACCCACCGTCAAGTGTCGAATCTAAGAACAGAACTGAAGGCAAAACTCATCAGAGAGGGTTTTGAGATGGTTCCCTTTACAGAATTTGCATACTAGATGACAAATATAAAAATACTTCAGGCTGAAATATTAGGGTAACAATATCAAATAGAAAGAAATGACAAGAACAAATTGCTAAATGAATTGATGGATCTTAGCATAAAAAGATGCAATAAACTATCTGTAATGGATGTGCCTACTGTTTTTTATTCTATCTCAAAACAAAGTGAACTGGTTGTGTTTATGTATTTAATTGTATGATAATCACAAATACCTTCGTCCCAACCATACAGTTACTCACAATACTTAAGACCTGATATTACAGCCACAGAACAACCTATTCACATATTTTATTTGGATATATTTATGTTATAATCTGAAAGTAATAAATTGTTTTGGAACAAATTAAATCTAATTCATGATAAGTCAGGGTCGATTTTGTTTGTTCAAAATTTGCACATTCACTATGAAAAAAAGAAATAACAAATAGATCTATTATTAAATGAAAATTATTAAATATTGCCAATATTATAGTCTGTATTCATCTGCCTGTTGGTCATAATATTGTTTCCTGGTACAGATGAAATATGAAGGTAAATTGTAAACAATTGGACATTCTGGTACTATCATCAGTTATTGATTACAAATATATATAACTGTAGCTCAATATTAAGTATTCTGTAAGGAGTTGCGCCAAACAGACTGTGTCATTGGAAGTGACAAACTTATATTTGAATACCTATTATTACTACTGTGTTACTACTGTATGGAACGTATCTAATGATTTCATTAACTTACTTTATATGTCTATTAATTAGTTGGTATTTTTGTAATGAAATTTCTATTTACAACTGTAACGCAATCTTCTGAAGCTTTCTTTCTGAGGTGGGTGGTATTTCTAATTTCAATTATTGGGAATAAAGTCTGGACTCGTATTTCATACTTCTGAAGAGAACCTTACGCAATTATTTTGAACCTCTAATAAATAGCATGATGGTTATGAAAGGTGCATGACATCAGACGTTAATTCAATGTAGTCTTGTAATGAAATACTTACACGCAAAACAACCTCATTTAAGAAAAGTAATTTATTAATTTTTCGAAGTAGAATTTAAGAAACAAACAGTAATTTGATTCTTATTTCTGTGAGAAATGGTTATTATAATCAATAAAGAAATATTAAAGTTTTATAAACCTCCTTCAAACCGCTTCAAATAATCTGCTTTATTAATAATATATATATTTTTCTTCTAAGATTTTATTTTTAATGACTCCAGACCATAATACCTAGTAAGTAATAGCAGTATTCTTGCTTGCTACAGATATTTATTTCAAACACTGACACCATGGGTGATCCTGAAGGTTTAATATGTCAGAACAACCTATATCTTGTTATGTTCTAATGATCTGTTGAGGAACAGGATTGGAATTAGGTTTCCCTCCTCTGGAGTCTATGAGGAATATCTATCTCTAAAATCTTTAGAAGTAGCCAAAAGGGGGCCAGCCCCTCCCCAGAAAAATTTAGATGACTTGAGTCGAATAGTTAAGGCCTGTTTTGAAAACTTTTGGCCCCCCGCGAGCTACTGGGCTAGCTACAGGGCTGATCTTTAGGATTATATAAACACATTGCACCTGAATTATGTAAAGTATTGTATATAAACTATGATTTAGTAAGCAAGTAGTCTCAATATTGTTTTGGAACATACCATTTCAAATACTCCTTTTACTCCAGTTTTGAGTCATTTTATTTAGCTGTCTTTAGGACATTATAATGAGTGTGCACATACTAGATCAAACTGGATACAGTTTTGATCTGTTTAAAACTGTTGTTATTTATTAATTGTTAATAGTAAATATGCCCCAACTGTGTCATGGTTTCCAGGTTGTCTGATTTGTAGCATATTTTATGTTAATTTCATAATATATTTGTCTCCTTTTCAGTTCCATCTGGTCCAAGAAGAGGTGATGTACCATGGGCAGTGAATTATAGTCGCAAGTGAACAAAAAGTGTAGGGATAATGTGCAAAAATAAATCATTTTATTGTGATTTGCCAACTTTAAGCATTTTCAATTTTAAGCAATTCTGTTTTTGATAATAATATTGGATTGTGATCTCGTACACTTAAATACTGAGAACAGTTGTTCTTTACTAACAGTATCTTGCTATGCTGTTGTGTCCAATTGTGATTTGCTTCTTAACAATGGTTGTTTCACATCTCAATATGAATTGTTGTTTTCAAAGCAATGTGTTCAATATGGGCTATGATTTTATTTGCCAAAGCACATAAACTATTCAGGACCCTTGTTTTGGATATAAAGAAGCTGATTATGAGATAGTCCATTCAATTATGATATACGCTTCAAGAGATTTTAAAGTCAAAAGAAACGAGAAGTTTTCAAGAGGTGTTCTAAAGTGTTTAAGAAAATATTCAAAGTTTAACTCAACAGTGGTTTATTAATGATATTATGTTATTTAAATGTATTGTTTAATAAGTGTTTTTTCATCTTCAATATTAGTGTTGCCATAGTAACCATATCCATAAGAATCTTTATTTATTCTATAAACTATACTTAGTTAGATTTCTGGTAGCTTTGTATTATCATAATATTAAATCTGTATATTATGCTTTTGCTTCACTGTGTCAAATTCTATCAACAATGGATTTTGCATTTCACATTGTTTTCAGATCTACTATGTGACGAAAGTTCAATCTATTGAAAGTTATTTTTTTGAATGCTTGAATCCAATTAAAACATATTAAATATAAAGTAAATCCATTATGGATTATCCATAATTATTTTTGTTTTGTCATGTATTTTCCGATGATGCTTATTGCGCATTCCTTCTCCTTAGCCTGTCTGTTATATTCATTTAAAAAATTGTTCGGTAGTATAGGGATCTGTCAGTTTAAGCTCTGTTATATAAATATAAACTGTATTAACTGAATATCCATTTTGGACTTAAAACTTGATTAGGTCCCATGTTAATTATGCAATATTGGCCAAAATAAATTAATTTATAGAATAATATATGTGGTAGACAAAAACTTGTTAGACTTGGCTCTGACTTCTGAAGTTATAACTAGATGTTTGCCAGTCCAGAACCATATTGTAAACTACCGAACAGCTATGGTTTGCATGTTTTATGATAATTGGAATGTAACACAGATAGGCCCATAAGAGAATTATCTTTCTATCGAGATCAGTGGTTAAAACAAATTATGATACCCAAAAACTTTTAATATTACAATTCTCATGAAAGCATTTTACAAGCAGACATGTTATGTCCATTATTGGTAACAAAGAGTACAGTATTTGTCGTTGTTTATAGTCTTT